CCGGCAGCCGTGCCCAGGGACGCCGGGGCTGGGGGAGGGAGCTCCCCGCTTCGGGCAGCGTTCTGTGCTGAGCTCACCCCTGGTTTGTTTTCTTCTGATGGCTCCGAGGGGTTTTTTTATGAATAAATATTCATAAATATTCACTTTGGTAAATGGAAATCAGAAACTGTCGCAAAAGAATTCCTAGGGTTGTTTCTTAACCAAACTGTTCTACCGGTCTTCCAAAACACGGCTTTAATTTGTGGCAAAGGGAGCGGCGTTTTCTTTTTCCCTGGGAGGAGCTGCTGTTGGGTCACTGTACTCACTTCACCGCAATCCTTGGTTTGTGTATCGAAGTGATTTCTGACAGAGAACTCTGGATATATTTGTGCTGGAAACCCACCTTGTTGAGTTGGTATTCAAAGCAACTGTCTGTTTTTTTTATAAACGTATTTGTTCTTGATTTGTAATTCATGCAAGGGTAACTGCATTATTTAATCTGTATTAACGAATTACCTGTAATGCTGCAGTTTCACATTTATTTTTCCTTACAATTTGTAATTATCATGGAAACAACGTCACTTTTTTGCATCTTACTAGCTGTCTGGTCCATGGTTTTAACTTACGTTCACCCATGGTAACTTTTGGTTGTATCATTTGTCAGAATAAAGACCAAACTACGCTGTTGGACTCTGCAGCGGGCGAAGACCGGGCGTGAACTCTCCCGTCGCGGCGCTTTCCGGGCTCTGCACAGCCCGGAGCCGAGCGTCTCGGAGCAGGGAGCCGACTGGGGCCGATGGGCTCCAGCAGCCGACCAGGGCCTTTGGTCTGTTCGGAAATGGAACCCCACGTTTTCATCACGGACCCTTCTTTGCCCTCTGTCGAGCTGTGGATGGTCTTGGCTGCCTGGCAGGCCGGGGCGCGGGGGACGGGGATGGGGATGGCCGTGTCTGGCGTTCGCTGGAGCTGAGGAGGCCGAAGGCTGCTGGGGGGGGAGGAGATGCTCGTCTTTCACCAGCCCAGCTGCTGGGATGGAATTCCCCAGCGTCACCACGAGGACGAAACTTCTTCCATCGGGATGGGGGGTGCTTCGTTCTCGCTTAGCGTTTGTCTGACTGGCTGTTTTACCTCCATGGCCCAGAAGCGTGCGCCTTGAAAGAACACAAGGTGAGCGCTGATTGAACAGCGCTCGCTGGGGAGAGCCATGGAGGGCAAAACCCCGAACTTTGGAAGCTTCATTTTGCCCCGTGGAAGGTTTTTTGCCTGTTTTAGGTGATGGTTGATTGGGGTTTTTTTAACCTTAGCCCTGCTTTCCTGCCCTCCTGCAAGCATCAGAGGTTGAGCTGTAGTGAGGACCTGGCTAACTTTAAAATCTTGTATTTATAAAGGGAGGAGGAGAACTCGTCTTTGGGGTTACAGAAAGTGCTGAGCGTGTTACCAGTTACACCAGAGATCACATAGAATCACAAAGAATCACACAGAATAGTAGGGGTTGGCAGAACACCGGAATTTAATTACACGTAGGCCCGGATTTACCATCTTGAGCTGCTGACCTGGTCCCTGGTCCCAGCAGGGGATGGCTTTGACAGCGACACCGTCGAAGGGCCAAGGAGGGTCACTTCCCTCCTCAGTCGGTTTATGTTCCTGTCCTGCAGCTGTAAGTACCTCGGTGCCAACAACCAGGGCGCAGCTATGGAGACGTCAGGCACCTTCGCTGGGTCCGGTTTTATTTTATTTCAGGAACTCCCCCTCCCTCCCCTCTCAGAGCAGCCAAGCAGGGGCTGTCTGTAAACTCCCCTCTTGACAAAATACCCAGAACAGCTGGTGAAAATCTGCATTTTCGCTGACCGGGGCAGTTGTAGCCCAGTGTTGCTGGAGCGCAGCGTTAGGCAGTGTGGGCAGCTGCCAGCCTGGCTTGTTAGCGCTGGTGTGCGTTCAGCGTGAGCTCCGGGCCGTGCCCCTCGAACCAGCACGTTTCCAGTTGACCTCACCAGCCGCCTTCCCCCAGCCCTCGCGCTTCCCCCTCCTGCCAGGGCCCCCGCACCGCCCTGCGGAGGCGAACGCTCCATTTCAGTGACAATACAGAAGATTTTTATAAATATGAACTCCTTTCTCAAAGCACTTGGCCCACAACAGCTCCAGCTTCCCCTGGCAGCCCCTTCCCTCCGCTCCCTCCACAGCAAAGCGTTTCTCTCGTTAGCGTAACGAGCTCCGGCAGAGCCGAACGGGCAGGAGCCCGGGCACTGAAGGAAGGGAGGGATTTGGTGTGGTCTTTTGAATAAAACCAGGCAGGTGGAGAGAAACGCGTCCTCGAACGGAGCGAGGTGAAGCTTCGCCCGCTCAGCGGTGTCAATAAATACCAGCAGCGTTTCACAGGAGCGTGAGTGTAAGTTTCAGGGTTTTATTATCAAAGTTTTGTAAAACAATTTCAGAAACTGTACATCAACATGGCACAGACTGTAGCCTACTTCTGTCTTTTTACCTGCACAAAAGGAAAAGCTCCGGGACTTCTGTAACTAAGGAAAGAGCTCGCCTAACTACGCTGCGTATAACATGGAATCACTGTGTGCATCGGGTTACTACTGCAGTGACAGTCAACACAAATTTTGAGTTTATACAACTTGAGATCAAGTAAAAAGTACATTATCAAGTAGACTCGCTTTTAAAAGCATACGAAGGTCGGTTTTAAAATGCACTACCCTTCTGCAGTGTGTTCAGCTCATGAACAAATCAAACGACCTGGATTATGGAGACTGCACAAATCAACCCTGAACCCCCGGGCACGGATCACGCGGAGATTTCACTTCCCGAGGCTCAAGAAGAAAAGTAAAGAACCATCACGAGGCGCCCGAGCTGGATTTGAACTGACAGACGAAAGCAAGCCCTCAAAAAGGTCAGTGCATTTTAACCTTCTCAAAGCCAAACCAAACCCACCGGGGAAAACAAACCAACCCAACCCAACCCCAGCCACGTGGCTTTAAAAAAAACCAAACCAAACCCAAAGAGCTACCTCTACCAGAAGGCGCCTTGCCGGGGTCCTGTCCGCTGGTTTGGCGTCTTCGCGCTGAAGACCCCCGAGCGGCTCCGCCGCGGGGCGCGGAGGGGGTCTCCGCCGGGATCCGCATGCAGCCGGTGCGTGTCCCTGGTCCCAGCAGGGGATGGCTTTGACAGCGACACCGTCGAAGGGCCAAGGAGGGTCACTTCCCTCCTCAGTCGGTTTATGTTCCTGTCCTGCAGCTGTAAGTACCTCGGTGCCAACAACCAGGGCGCAGCTATGGAGACGTCAGGCACCTTCGCTGGGTCCGGTTTTATTTTATTTCAGGAACTCCCCCTCCCTCCCCTCTCAGAGCAGCCCAGGAGGGGCTGTCTGTAAACTCCCCTCTTGACAAAATACCCAGAACAGCTGGTGAAAATCTGCATTTCTACAAATTATAAAAGTGCCCCTCTGCCCGGGGCGCCGGGACAGGTTAACAGGCAGCGCTTTGACCCCTCAGGTTCCAGAAGCTTCGGCAGCCCTTGGAGTGTCACTCCGGGCCGTGCCCCTCGAACCAGCACGTTTCCAGTTGACCTCACCAGCCGCCTTCCCCCAGCCCTCGCGCTTCCCCCTCCTGCCAGGGCCCCCGCACCGCCCTGCGGAGGCGAACGCTCCATTTCAGTGACAATACAGAAGATTTTTATAAATATGAACTCCTTTCTCAAAGCACTTGGCCCACAACAGCTCCAGCTTCCCCTGGCAGCCCCTTCCCTCCGCTCCCTCCACAGCAAAGCGTTTCTCTCGTTAGCGTAACGAGCTCCGGCAGAGCCGAACGGGCAGGAGCCCGGGCACTGAAGGAAGGGAGGGATTTGGTGTGGTCTTTTGAATAAAACCAGGCAGGTGGAGAGAAACGCGTCCTCGAACGGAGCGAGGTGAAGCTTCGCCCGCTCAGCGGTGTCAATAAATACCAGCAGCGTTTCACAGGAGCGTGAGTGTAAGTTTCAGGGTTTTATTATCAAAGTTTTGTAAAACAATTTCAGAAACTGTACATCAACATGGCACAGACTGTAGCCTACTTCTGTCTTTTTACCTGCACAAAAGGAAAAGCTCCGGGACTTCTGTAACTAAGGAAAGAGCTCGCCTAACTACGCTGCGTATAACATGGAATCACTGTGTGCATCGGGTTACTACTGCAGTGACAGTCAACACAAATTTTGAGTTTATACAACTTGAGATCAAGTAAAAAGTACATTATCAAGTAGACTCGCTTTTAAAAGCATACGAAGGTCGGTTTTAAAATGCACTACCCTTCTGCAGTGTGTTCAGCTCATGAACAAATCAAACGACCTGGATTATGGAGACTGCACAAATCAACCCTGAACCCCCGGGCACGGATCACGCGGAGATTTCACTTCCCGAGGCTCAAGAAGAAAAGTAAAGAACCATCACGAGGCGCCCGAGCTGGATTTGAACTGACAGACGAAAGCAAGCCCTCAAAAAGGTCAGTGCATTTTAACCTTCTCAAAGCCAAACCAAACCCACCGGGGAAAACAAACCAACCCAACCCAACCCCAGCCACGTGGCTTTAAAAAAAACCAAACCAAACCCAAAGAGCTACCTCTACCAGAAGGCGCCTTGCCGGGGTCCTGTCCGCTGGTTTGGCGTCTTCGCGCTGAAGACCCCCGAGCGGCTCCGCCGCGGGGCGCGGAGGGGGTCTCCGCCGGGATCAGCATGCAGCCGGTGCGTTCCCTACGCTGCTCTAGCGCTGCGAGGAACCGAACGAGGGACGCTACCGCGGGCGAGCGGAGTTGCTACGGGAGGTCAGACCACACACAGTCCATGCCTGCTGGAGACGCATGCAGCTTTTTACTTTTGCTCGAAGCATCGCCAAGCGAGTACGAACTGCTCGGCGGCGCAGTCCCTGCCGGCCGCGACGCCGCCGGCCGCCCTTCTAGCAAGCTTCTGACGGGAGGTAGTATCGGGAGGTTTACAAACCGAGTAGAGCTTAGAGCCGTGTACACCTAGCTTCGGGATTAACAAGGACAGCGGAAGAGAATCACACAGGAATGACACCGACGCGCGGCCGCGCTCGCCGCCAGGGCCGGGCTCAGTCGCTCATGTCCATGTCCTCCTCGTGGTGGTCGTCCCCGTTCACTTTGGATTCCCTGGCGGCATCTCCACTGCCCTTCTCGGCGGCAGACTCCTTGACTTTCGGGGAGGAAGAATCTGCCATTTTCTTTTCTTCCTTCTTCTCCTTCTCGCTGTCGTACCCTTGTTCTTCCTCGTCGTAATCCCTTGTGACCTGCTTTGCCGAGAGAAACAAGACAACAGGTAAACCTTGCTTTCCGAGCGCCCGTCGGTGCCCGGGCGACAGCACAGCGCAGGCAGGGAGCTAAGGAGGTTTTTAAACATACTTTCACATCCTTATCGCTCTCGGATTTCCGTTCTCGATCCTTCTCTTTGTCTTTGCTTTTCTTTTTCTTGCTTGTCGACCGCTCCCTCTCGTCTCTGCTTCTTTCCTTGTCTTTATCCTTCTTCTTCTCCTTTTTATGCCTGCAGTGATGAAGCGTGCAGAACAGTGAAAACCACAGTCGCGCCGCGCCGTAACACGGACCACGTCGCCTGCCACCCGTAAGCTCGTTAGAAATCCAGCGGGGGAACAGCAGCGTGGAACTCGTTCGCTTTCAGAAAACGACTGAACCCCCCCGACTCCGTAGCTGAAATCTAAAGTTTCTTAAAGGGAAAGCAATGGTAAATTATCTCAGTGAATTTCTACAAAGCTTTGAAAAGTTTCATAACCCTTTCTCAAAGGGCTGGGAGAGTAGAAGGAGGCAATGAGAATTATTATCTGAGAAGCTGGCACTGTACAATAGTCAAATATCTGATGAATCCTCTTTGTCATCTCTCATGTTGGTGACTTCGTCAAAGAGAGACTGTGTGGTTATTTCTTAGCTATTAAAAATGAACTGGCTGCAGAAAATAGATAGCAATTTAAAAATACCCTCTGATGTTCTGCTGACTAAAAGATGGAGCTATGCTGACTAAAATTAATTCCATGTACAGCGCCTGGAGTTTTAGGACATGTATAAAATTCTGATGTAGCCTTTCATCTCACATAGTATTTACCATAAGGACTGTGTTTCCTCAGTTCCTTCAGTTATAACATTATAGTTTAGGGATTTTAAGATTTTTTTTTCTTCTCAACATATTTTAACTTGCTGATACCAACTTAGAGATATAGCTAAAAGCAGGTAATATTGACTGAAAGGTTGACTCTGAAATAGTGGCCAAAAATGTAAATTAGGAAAGGAGTCAAGTAAAGAGAACAGAAACATTGTTATGCTGTTAGTGTAGCCTCGATCCATCCACAAGTTATATCCTGTGTGCAGTACTCTTGTGTCAAAAATAGCATGTTGGAGTGGGGATAGATTTGTAGAAGAGTAGCATGAATGCTCAAAGATATGAAATTCCTTTGCTGCAGGTGTTATGGATGCTATAAATGATTATATGGATTTGCGAGACTGGAAAAATTTAAGGTAAAATTATTGAAGGTTTATACATACGTAGGTAAGCCCTTCACCTCAGGACTCTGTGAGGTTCACACTGGTAGAAACAGAGAGGTGTGGGAAGATGTAGCAGTAAACTCACCTGTTCTCATATGCTTTCAAAATTACCTGCTATTGATCACTCAGAAGCTGCTGGACTAACTGAACCCACAAAGGACTTGTGCTCCAAACTGATTCAAGATAAAAGTGGAGCTGAGAAATTATATATGTTAAAAATTCCTTTTACAATAAAATAAAAGAATATGGAATAAAACCCAGGTTTAGAAACAGTTTTCACACAGGTGTGTTAAGCTGGGCATGTAAGCCTGCCTAAGAGCACTTACAGAATCACAGAATGTTTGGGGTTGGAAGGGACCTCTGTGGGTCATCTAGTCCAACCTCCTGCCGAAGCAGGGTCACCTACAGCAGGCTGCACAGGACCTTGTCCAGGCAGGTCTGGAATATCTCCAGAGAAGGAGACTCCACAACCTCCCTGGGCAGCCTGGGCCAGGGCTCCGTCACCCTCAGAGGGAAGAAGTTCCTCCTCATGTTCAGACGGAACTTCCTGTGCCTCAGTTTGTGCCCATTGCCCCTTGTCCTGTCACTGGGCACCACTGAAAAGAGGTACCTCTCCAAGGTAAGAAACACGTGTGATTCGGTGGATGTCCCTGTCGGCAGCACCACGCAGCACGCGCGGCTGCTGAGCAGCAGAGCAAGTTGTTTCCCATCCCGTTGCCCCCCTCATGAGCAAACAGCCAGCTCAGACTCTGCTGTGGATACCAACTCTTCTCCAGCAGAAACGAAACAGTTTGCTCCTCTTCACACAGCGAGTTGTGGCAATCTTTTTACAACAGAACGGCACACATGATGCATGCACTTGACCCATAAATCAGCGAAGAGTTTAACAGCGCCCTCGAAGCACCGTGCTCTCTCTGATGCAGGGCAAGCAGAAACTGTTCTCAGCCCAACCCAGAAAGTTACAGCATCAGGGCAGAAATTAAAGCATCTCGCAGACAGAGGTGACGAGAGGGCGGGTGCACTGGTGCAGACACCCCACGCGCCACCGGGGAACCGCCGTCCCGCTACCGACGAGCCTGCTCCTCCTGCCGACGCGGGCAAGGACCCCGCCGCCGCCGCACCACCCTACCTGCTTGTGCTTCTCGATCGCCTGGTTGTGCTGTAGCTTTTGGGGGGAGTTTTGGAACGTTTCTTTTCTTTCTCTTCCTTCTTTTTATCCCTTGAAGTAAAACACAGGTTTTCAGTTTAAGTCATTTCCAAACGACTCAAGCAGCATCCACTGCTTCCGTGACGCAGGAAAAGGAGCGTACTGACCTGCGGGGCGACGGGGACCGCGACATTTTCCTCTTCGGAGACCTGGGCTTTTTAGGTGACCGTGTTCCACTCCTGCTTCTTCTGCGCCGTCTTTCTCTGCGGGAAAGGGAGATCAAAGCTTTTTCTTTTTTTTTCTTTTTTTAAATAAAGCTACAAACAGATCTCTCACAGAATCACAGAATAGTAGGGGTTGGAAGGGCCCTCTGTGGGTCCCCCAGCCCAACCCCCTGCCCAAGCAGGGTCACCCAGAGCAGGCTGCACAGGAGTCACACCTCCAGGGCAGGTGCAGTGCAACCCCAGAAGGTCTCACAGGAGACTGGGACCTTGAAAAGAGCCACTGGGGCATTTCACCCTAGGTTTTTTGTTTGTGGGTGGGGTTTTTTTTTAATTAAGCACCAAAATGTAATAATTTAATTGCTAGCAAACAGATTTACTGCAGCAATTACCTGGTTTTGGATGTGCTCCTAGACCTTCTGCTTCTCTCTCTGGAATGAGACCTTCTTCGCCTTGGACTTTTAGATCGCCTCCTGCTTCTTGATTTCGAATGGGACCTTCTCCTTGATCTGCTTCTCGACCGTCTACCAGTAACACATTGTGCATGGGAGTTAAATACACGAAATTTTGATGTACTAATCAGCATCCATCTGCTCAGTGCTAACTGTATTGCAATGCAGAACGACGCAGAAAACAGAAAAAAGAATACAAAAACAGCAAAGGAGTCACGCTGAGTCTGCCGAGGAGAAGTGCTACGCCTCAAACCACCACGCTGCTTCCAGCAGCTCTCCTACTACCCTATAGTACTTTCCTACTACTTAACAGTATTAATACTTACAGTATTTCCTACTACTATAAGGAAATACTGGTCCTGCAGCGGAGGAAAACCAGTCACGCTGAAGCACGAAGACATTTTATAACACTAAACCAAACACTGGCCAACAGCAAGGAAGGGCGGACGGGAAGGCCACGGCTCACGCGGCTTTGCGGAGAGCACTGGCACGCGCTAACTGCAGTCAACAAGCCAGCAGTGGAAACGAGCCCTGCGTCCTTCCGTCTGCACGGGACAACGTTCAGGTCTCTGGCCAGGACACCCAAACAGACCTCATCTCCAAGTAAACCACAGCCCAGAAAACGCTGGAAAAACTTCTGTCCCAGACAGCTGCGCAGGCTCGAAGCACACAGCCCAGCAGGTGACATCTATCAGCAGAAGTCACGGCGCTCAGAGAAGCCTCTCGGTGCCCAGCTTTAGGAGAAACTGCAACTGCCACACGAGCACGCTGGAAAGGGACTGCAGGAGGAGCAGAGCTCCAAGGAACCGCTGTGAGCTGGACGGCCTGCGATGGCCGAGGTGTCCATCGCGGTGAGGGCTGGGCAGAACCAAGGCTCTGTGCCAGGGGTCTCTCTTCTGATACAAGCAGCCATTTGTTGCTAAATAAAATCAGAGTCCAAGCACCGCTAGGACCAGGTGTCCTGAAGTTCTTTCTGCGGCAGTCTAAGGTATTTTTGAGGTATTTCTTGCTATCATCTCTCTCCCACCCTTGCTCCAAGACCAGAGGCAGGCCTCCACCTCCACGCCAGGCTGGCCAGACCACAGCCCCAGCTTCTTCCGCCCGCGTGCACCCTGCCATCTGCCAGTCTCCACGGGCCCAGGGACGCTTCCAGGAAGTATTTCTGAAGGAACTGTTTCAGCTGTCCGGTGGTTTGGGTTTTTTTAAAGTAAAGGAGCTAACTACCTGTGTCTAGATGAAGAAGGTGTCCTCCTCCTCCTCGAGCGTGACCTTGACCTTGAATGCCTTCGTTTTTCATCTTTTTTGTCTGGAGTTAAAAAGGAAAAGCATAGTAAAAAACCCAGTGCTACTTCAGTATTGAAAAAGATTTTATAAGGGAAAGGAAGCTGAGCTTCATGCTACAGATATAAATAAGACAGAGAAAACCTAAGGAATATTTTGACATTTGAAATTAAGGCTCATCTACCCTTCTCCTCAAAAGCCTACAGGAAGAATGAACACGTGACAGAGACATGTATGTGACAGAAAACCAACACAAAGTTTCACGCAAAACTGAAGAAGTCAGAATTCAGAAAACGTTTCATTTAAGTGAGTTAAAAGACGAGAGCTGCAGGGCAATGGGAAGTCTTGTTAAAGTCTCAGAATCTCTGCCATTTTGTGAAAGGCAAAAGAACCTCTCAAATTATTGTTTTGAATTTCTGACAAAAAGCCTCAAGCAGAACAATCAGCACGTTTTTTCTGGTATAATAAAAGAACAGGAGCTCTATTCTTTCCTGAAAATGATCAGGAGACGGCAAAACTGTATTTTCAGTGTTCCGAGTTACCGCATCTCAGATCTGGTGGATCTGACATTTGTGGATGAACTGCTGCATCTTGTGCTAAAATCAGCTCTACTGAAATAAGCTACCAAAAAAAGAACTCTACACAAACTCCCACAGATTAGGCATTAAAAGAAAGGAAACCATCCCTAAGAAAAAACACCACTGGGACGTCAAGCGGCGAAGCCGCTTGCTGTTTCCAACGCAGTCTCGGAGGTGGCAGAATGAACTTCCACCAGGGGAAGCTCCAGCATTTCGCAGGCTTCAGATGCAGTGAATTCAGGGAAAACCAACAGATGGTGAGTTCCCTGCATCATTCTGCAGGCCACATGTGGCATTCACACTGTAGGGCAACTAAAAAAATCCGCCAACTATAAATTAAGTCGCTGCAGAACACGAGAGCATTCAGCAACGTTTTGCAGACCATTGGCTTTTACCACACACTGTGTCACAGCTCCACCTCGACTTGGATGAGGCCTTCCGCGATCTGACGTTACCTGGCTCTATGGCAGCAGAAATGAGCGACTGTGCTTCTCGTACTCTCTTCATAGCCTCTTCTATTTCTTTACTGGAGGTATCCGATTTCAGACTCGGTGAAACAAGACCTGCAGCTACATGGTTCAACCTGGTAAGTAGAAAAGAATTTTAGAAGTGCGGTATGGGTGAATCCAAGAAACACAAGCCCCCGCTGCTGGTCTGCAGCCCGTCCAAAGTGACGGATCCAAGTGAGCCAGGGTCTGCCTCTGCTTTGCCACCGCTCAGGTGACAGAGTCGCAGGTCTAAGGTGTGGTATCTGTGCTGAAAGCAGCGGCGCAAGACACCAGCGCATCAGGCTCTTTGAGTCCCAGTAAACTGTAAAGAGCAGGAAGGGTTGTATCGTCTTACATGGGTATGTTTCCAAGGCCACTTTTCGAACATTTTTGTACAACCATCTCACTTCTCATCACCTGAAAGCGCAGCTCTGCAGGAAACAGTACATTACGCAGCAGAAAGTCGGTTCCTGCTTTTATAAGCCATACCAAGCAGCCTACAAACAGGGATGAACTTTGAAGTTCAGAAGATGTGCTCTGCAGGTGGCTCCGAAGCCAACCAGGTACACCCCATATACCTGACTGATGTTCTTCTGATCCCTTATCCTGGGTAACTCTTTTATCCAACCTGCTGACACTCCCTGCTTACAGAAATGTCGATTTAAAACTGGGAACAACACGCCAGCACAGTATTACAACCAGAGACAGATCACACGTACAGTTTTATCCCCCGGTACAGACCAGATGGCCCTGACAACTCAGAAACACGGGACAGCAGCCGGGTCAGCGGCAGCCTCTTCAGCCG